GCCGCATCCAGCCCCCGGGCCTTAGGTTGCCTACCCCTGGACTAGACTCTGGAGAACAGGGTTTGAATCCCAGCTCGGCCATGGAAACCCACTGGGTGACCTTGAGCAAGTCACACTCTCTCATCCTCAAATGGCAAGGGCATGCCCTCTCTGAGGAAACTTGCCAAGAAAAGCCCATTATAGCATCTTGTTTTTTGCTTCGAGTGCCTTCATGATGACTCTATAATGGGCTTTTCTTGGTAAGATTTGTTCAGAGGAGGTTTGTCATTGCCTTTCTCTGAGGCAGAAATGACTTGAGGAAAACAACAATAAACCTAACAAAGGAGATTATGGTTTCACAAAAGACTGAGGCATCTTTTGCATCTCAAAAGAAGCATCTCTTTTGTCTTGCTATGGCCAGAAGAAGCTAAAATGTTCCCCCAACATCTGAACTGAGAATAGAAACATCTTGACAAAATGCAGACTTGTGACTACCATTGTCAAAAAATTTTCCTCCTATATGATTTTTTTAACACCTTTGCTTGATGAAGAAGAAGCCAGTGGAGCTTCGAAAGTTTGCAACACGCATTTTGTGCATTTAAGTTTGGGCCCAATTAAGGTATCCCTGTTTTGTAGATTTTGGATGTTATTGTATTTTGCTACACAGCCAACATGGCTACCCCTGAATATGTTTCCAGAAATAAAATAAAATAACAGTTGATAATACAATAAGTAATACAGCTATAAATAAACCCTATGAAATTAATGCATATTAGTATTAGTGTCTTTTAGCTTTTAGTATGCAATGTCCTACATTTTATTTAATTCACTACATTTTGCAGTGCCTTGTCTTCCTTTGCAGTTCTGACATCTGGTCACCCTGACCATTCCCAGGGTGACCACATGTCCTAACCACAAAGGAGGATAAGGCACTACAAAATGTAGGATATTAAAGAAAAATGTGGGACATTACAAAAATAAAAGCTAAAAATGCTCACATAAATGTAAATTCATGTTTCTTAGTCATGTTCAAAATGGAGGGCATTTTGAAATTCCTCCTGGACAGAAGGTTGAACTAGAAGATAAGTCCTGGAAAAGAAGAACCCCTGGTCACCCTGCTCACATCTTCCTTTTACACAGAGAGGAATGCCCCAAAAGCCCATCTCCATAGGGCATAACTGTGATGCTAGCCCCTGGCACAGTGACATCAGTCAGCCTCTGCCTTATACCGCTGGTGTGGAAAAGGGGGCTTTGGGGACTCTTGGAGTTGGTCAATAAAGGCAACCCTCTTTTGTGGTTTTTGGGATTTTGCTGGTTGGGTAACAGGGCTACTACTCCAGGATATGCTGCTTAAAGTTGTGTTTGATTGGTAGTTCCTGCATGGCAGGGGGTTGGACTGGATGGCCCTTGTGGTCTCTTCCAACTCTATGATTCTATGGGACCTTATCCCACGCTGCTCTCAAAAGTGGCAAGAAAGCGATATGAGCATCATTGCAGTACTATAGTGCTAGTATAAATATGGCGCTAGCGCTATAATAGCGCTATGGATAAGGTAGCGCTATTGCAATGCCCGCTGAAACCGACATTCAAAAGAACCCGAATGATGCTGCATTCCGAGCGGTTTCTTGTTGGATTCTGAGCGACGTCGTGTAATCACCCGGAAAACTATAGCGCTATAGCGCCTGATTCTTAGCCGATTCTGAGCGACGTCGTGTGATCACCCGGGAATGTATAGCGCTATAGCGCCTGATTCTTAGTGGATTCTTGCTGCTTTTGGCCCTGTGGGATAAGGTCCTATGATTCTATGATTGTTGTTGTTAACTGCCCTTGAGTCGATCTCGACTCATGGCAACCCTATGGATGAGACATCTCCAAGACCCTCTGTCCTCCACTGCTCTACTTAATTCCTGCAACCCCTTAATCCCCATAGTGACCTCCTTCATAGAGTCCATCCTTCTGGCATGTGGCCTACTTCTCTTCCTACTTCCCTCTACCTTCCCCAGCATTATTGTCTTTTCCAGAGTCCCCTTTTCTCCGAAG